ATGTTAAACTTTGACTTGACTTATATATAAACTGAAATTTGGTAAGAACAAATTCACAACGCAAATAATACCAAACGTAATATATAAAATGTAAATAATGACGCAAAACGAAAAATTAAAACTTGACTTATTTATAAACTTAAATTTGGTAAGATCAAAATCACAACTCAAATTATACAAAATGTAATATATAAAATGTAACAAGCATGTATAACTGAAATAATGACGCAAAACGAAAAATTAAATTGCTAATTTTCTTATACTCCCACTCCAAACAAGGCTTTATGTAGGAAATTTTGTTCTCATATATGGAACGGTTACAATCAATTACGTGCACATAAATAAGGCTAATATATATATGTACATTAATTTTGGAAGCCTTAGCTTACCATATTATGTGTCAAGGTATTCAATGTATTTATTATAAGAATCTTTCGTTATTAATACCAAGGCTTGACCTTTACACTATATATACAAGGGGTGTTTTGTACGTGTCTTATTCATCAACATCTAACAAGCAAACAATTTTCTTATTCTTTACACTACATATAATGGGTGTTTACTGATATATGTTTCTAAGTTTGGATTCATTTCTGAGTTTATGTTTTTTAAAATATTTTGGTTCATGCTCACATTTCAATTGTTGTTACTCTTGCAGTTTGTATTAAGAAACCTCTAATTTTATGAATCTTGCAACTCTTTAAATAAAATGCCGATTTTATTTTAGACTTATACATTTGGTTTTTGTCTTTGATTTGTCTAAGTACTTCATTTATGCTTTAAGAAATATAGTATACACTTTTATCCGCATGAGGAATTTAATTTGTTAGACAAACCAGACAAAAATATGCTTCCACCAGTCCCAAGAAATAACCAATCTACTCATAAAGTTTGATGCTAACCTTTTACTCGGGAACCATCTGTTCTCTTGGAACATTCAGCTACATGGCACATAGTTCACAGAAGTCATGTCCACTGGCGAAGCTATCCTGTAAATCTCTGGTTCATTCCTAATTTCCTATAACAAAAAAAACAGGAATAATGATTGTTATAGCAAATATTATATATATTTGTGTTGACCTAATAGAAGCTCTCAAGATGGGAAAATCAGCTATTTGTCTCCCCCCTGTTGGAGTTCTTTCAGACATTGTTCCTTGGGTGTGTTGGTACATGTGGACAGCTAGAAACCAGTTACTTTTTGAAGGGAGGAAAGTCTCCCCGGAAGACACAGTCTCGAAAGCTATATGGAGTGCAAGAGAATGGAACTTGGCACAACCTGATACTCATATCTCAGCTTTTACCCTGCTACCAAACAGCTCATTGATCAACCCAGTTCTGGATGATCTAGTGCTCTGTTTTTCAGATGCGGCATGGCGACAGGAAAATAAGATGGCAGGTTTTGGTTGTATTTTCAAAAACATATCAGAGTGATTGGCCTTCAAGATACTCGGATAGAACATAACACTGCCTCACCACTCATTGCGGAAGTACTGGCCCTCCGTTGGGCTATGCTCTCAGCACACGCACGGGACTACTCAAGAATCTGCTTTAACACAGATTGTCAAGCGCTCTTAGCTGCAATATCTTCGAAGGCTCCTCCGGCTGACCTCTACGGGATTATCCAGGACATCGATCAACTATCACAACTCTTCATTTCTGTTTCCTTTAAATTTGTTGCTAGACTTTCAAATTCAGTAGCTGATCAGCTTGCTAAAACTGCCTTATGTATTGCTACCTCATCTCTCTCCCTTTCGGGAGTTTGAGCTTCTTTTAATATGATTCCTATTGTGTTCAAAATAAAAGCAAATATTATATTCACCATTTTGTTTGTTGAGGATAAAAGTTTCAGTATATTATAAAGTTAATGATAGTAGTAAGGTTTAAGAAAATCAATACCTATCCTATTAATAGTTAATGTAGTCTGTTACGATTAACCGAAGGAATCAGATGGCTTAAACGTTCGAGACATGCACTTTTGAAAGTTATCGATTGTTAACCATCTGTCCATCACCTGGATACATGTTAGTTAAATTAAAGTTGGTACATAATAAGTAATGAAGATATCAGAACGGAGTGGAAATAGGACATCATATAGTTTACATTTTATGGTAAAGAATCCACTGATTGAGACGTATAGGAACTGAATCGATGTTAACAGAAAATTGAAATTAACAATGAGATAGGGATGAAAAAGGATCGTATTAGAATTAGTTCAAAAAAAATTTGGTAAAGATCGAAGAGAGAATTTTTTTAGATTGAACCCTAATCCCCTTTTTCTAAAATTGTACAATTTTTGGAATGAGTAATTGATTTTCTTTATTGACAACTAGGATTTTGCCCGTTCTACGGGCGGGTTAGCATATAAAAAACATTAAATCAATATATCATCAATTTAAATGAATATTTCAAAATATTAAATTTACTTTTATTTAAATTGATCTTGATTTTCACTATGTATATTTTATTATTTTATTATAAATTATGTTTATCTTAATATTGAAAGAAGGGACATATTACAATTTTGTTATTATACGTATTTTTTCTTTCATTCTACGAAATTGTTTTCTAATAAACGAATAATATAAATACAACTACTGCGATTTAAATAATTCAAATTACAATTATAATAAAAATACAATTATATATGTAATTCAAATATTAAAATTACAATTAAATTTGTTAGTATTTTTTATTGTATACTTTTTGGGATTTATTATTTTGATGACTTAATTAAATAGATCGGAGAACTGAAAAGGGAGAAGAATATACTATTTAGTTACAAATTAAAGATTAATTCCTAAAAATTAAGAAAAATAAAGAAATAATTATTTAAGAAATGACATATGGCATCATTTGCTCATCCTTCCAAGAAGTGATGTGATTTTCTCTACGAAGAGAGTCTTCTACTTTATATATAGAGAGATAGATGTAAAAAAAAAAGCAGATGAGCCACTTAATTTTTCTAAAAGAATAAGGCCAACTGAAATTTATTTTGTTAAGTAGTCCATGTATCTGAATTTCCTAAGCCCATGGAAATTCGGACAAGTCTTGGTCTTATTAAAAATTTAAGTGTTTTTGTCTAGCCATTTATATATGTGTAATGTATGATTATCATGATGATGGTTCCAATGTTCCACAGTATGCAAAATATATGCTCAAAAGTAGGAAATTGTACTATCTCCATGATAAAATGTTTTTAATGTTTGGACTTCTGAGGGACTGAAATGTATATACATTGTATTATTTTTTCAATTGTTTCAACTAAAGTTTTAATGTATTGTGTTTGATAAATATATAAAAAATAGTTTATATAAACATTTTACCCCGTGCATGGCACGGATCCTTACCTAGTAATATATAAGGGATGTGTATTTCGTGGTCTTTGTCTAGTTTATCCTTAGAAAAATAATTAAAATATTTTTTTTTGTTTGCTTAAACTTTGACCACTTTTGTCTTGTTCCAGCAAACATAGATAAATACCATATGATAACAATAAAACAAGTTGTTTTTGTTTGTTTCAGAATAACATATAAAAATAACAAAATAGTATTCATTAAAAAAAATAATATAAATGCACATATGCTCCTAAAGTTATTATTTTTCTATGAGTTAGGGTTTAAATTCTAGGAGTGGGAATTTATGGGATATGGTTTATAATTTAAACTATGAATTATAATTTTTTATTTTTAATATTTATGTGTATCAAATGTATTATGTTTAAAAGTACTTTAGCTTTAATTTCTTTTTAGTAAATGCCATTCTGTGATTTTTTTTTCATTGTGTGCTATTTTTATGATAATTATTTGTGCTATTTAAAAAAATTATCTTTAAACTAGCTAAAAAAAAATAAAAACTGGTAAAAATATGATTCTCAGTATATTGAATTTCTGCTTGAGTTCGTTTAGGTTTTAGCTTTTTGAGTTTATGAATTACAGCCCCATTCAGATTTTATAAATATTTGGTTCGAATTTGGTATATGTTTAGTTGGATTCAGTTTGAATTTAGTTACATGTCCAAGATCTGGTTAAACTTGAGATAGCTTTGTTTTTAAATATTAATCGAGTTATCAGTTCCAAATATATTAGTTTGTACTTGATTAAATTCAATATATTTCAATCTTTTTTGAAAAGATTGAAATATACTTTTAAATATTATTATTTATGTAATAGATAAATATTTTATGTGCTAACTAATATTCTATTATATTTTGGATACATATTAGGAACTAAGATCGAGGTTGGTACAATTTTTTTTTTGAAATTTGATATTTCAGATTTTTTGTAATCTATTTAGATTCGGGTTTGATTCAGATAAAATCCATTTCTCCGAAATACTATAGAACACAATCTATTCGGTATTTATATCGGGTTCAGATCGATCTGAATTCATTTAATCGGTTCAACTTTGATTTTGAATTTTTTGAATTTTTTTTTCTCAAACCTTAGTGTATCATATGTGGATTAACATTGTAATTTTCTTAATAACAAATCATTTGTGATTTGAACAGAAAAAACGATTCAAAAATATTTGTCATAAACAAAAAAAAAAGGATAGAAAATATCTGACAAGTTTTGACCCAAAAAATAAATATCTGACAAGCTGCCCGAGTAAGTAATCAAACTGACAAGGGCAAATAAAAAGATTGCTGCCCGTTGGCCAATCCTCAAACTCCAACACCAATAGAGATTAGAGAGTCGTCGTCTCCGTCTCTCTCTCTTTTTTTTTTTCTGTCAAAGAAATCACTCACTTTCCGAAAATATATATATATATATATATATATATAAAAATTAATATCTCAATCCTACGGTATCAACTTGTACATAAAAGGGAAACTTCCCTCTTCTTCTCCATTGCAATCCCAAGAAGCCCCAACCACAGTTCTGCCTCACCGTTGGGCACGCAGGAGCGCTCCATCGGTGGCAGACGGTGTCGTGATTCCTATCCTCCTAACCTCCTAACCTTCACATCATCTCTCCACCTCCGTGTCTAGAGAAGCTGAGATGGGGCAGAGCATGAGCTGTGGAACGAGACCGGAGCACGGTATATTCGCCTCCGTGCAGTGCGGAGACATCTTCACAGTACGTCGAGTGATGACGGCGGATCCGAGTCTGTTGCATCAGACCACTCCTTATGATCGTCACTCTGTTCTTCACGTAGCTGCTGCTAGTGGCCAGATCGAGGTTTGTTTCACTAGTTTTCTCCGAGATCTCGCGGGAGTATCTTCGGAGTCTCGCGTTTCTGATGTTTCCTGTTTTGCAGATATTGACCTTGCTTTTGGGACGATTTAATAATCCAGATGTGTTGAATCGTCACAAGCAGGTTTGTAATCATATCTGATTCGCATTGATTTGGGATCATTTTGCTGAGCTGATTGTGATTCTTGTAGACTCCGTTAATGTTGGCTGCTATGTATGGAAGGATCTCTTGTGTCAAGAAGCTTGCTGATGTTGGAGCTAATGTAAAAGCTCAGAACACGTTTCTTTTAATCTTCTACCTTCTTGAAAGTTGTGGTTGAGAGATCTTTCCTGGGAATCAATCTTTCAGGTTTTGATGTTTGATTCCGTCAGTAGAAGAACATGCTTGCACTACGCAGCTTACTATGGACACGCTGATTGTGTTCAAGCCATTCTCTCTGCTGCTCAGTCAAGTCCCGTCGCTTTTCATTGGTGGGTCTCTTTTTTTTTTTTTTTTTTCAAGATTGTGCATTTTAGCTCAAACTACTTAATGAAAGTTTATAATTTTCAGGGGATTTGCACAATTTGTGAATATTAGAGATGACAAAGGAGCGACACCGTTGCATCTAGCAGCCAGGCAAAGACGCTCTGAGTGTGTGAATGTTCTGTTGGATAGTGGTTCCCTTGTTTGTGCTTATACTAGCTTATACGGGTAATCCAGTCGTTTCCCCTAAAATCAACATTTTTTAGAAGTCTTGGGTGGGACTAATCCTCCAAGCTTTGTTGAAACAGGTCTCCAGGGAGCACACCTCTTCATTTGGCTGCAAGAAGTGGATCTATCGATTGTGTCAGAAGACTGCTTGCTTGGGGTGCTGACCGTCTTCAAAGAGACGCTTCTGGGTATATCAACATTCTCTTTTGTCACTTTCTTAAGATTTGTTAAAAATCTTGTGTTATGATCATTTGAGCAGTCATTATTCATCTTGTAGAGAGTTAACTTGAATCTTAAAATCATTTTTCAGGCGGATACCTTATGTTGTTGCCATGAAACACAAGCACGGAGCATGTGGAGCGTTGCTTAACCCGTCTTCTGCAGAGCCTCTGGTCTGGCCAGCTCCGTTAAAGTTCATCAGCGAGCTTAATGATGAGGCAAAGCTGCTCTTAGAACAGGCTCTGATGGATGCTAACAGAGAAAGAGAGGAAAGCATTCTCAAAGGAACTGCTTACTCCTTACCATCACCATCTTTCTCTGACATTGCATCAGATGATAACATGTCTGAGGTACTATCACACCCGCTTACTTGACAAAAGGCTTCTTCAATTGTCTGTTTGATAATGTGTAAAATGTTAATACTAATACGTTATCAAACGTTGCTTACAGGTGAGTGACTCGGAACTGTGTTGCATTTGCTTTGAGCAAGTATGCACAATTGAAGTCAAAGACTGTGGTCACCAAATGTGTGCACAATGCACACTTGCACTGTGCTGTCACAACAAACCTAACCCAACGACTTCAACGTTGACACCACCGGTGTGCCCGTTCTGTAGAAGTGTCATCGTACGGTTAGCCGTCGCCCAGGACAACAACGACAAGAGCAAGAGCCAAGATGAAGTTGTTGATCGTGAGGCAGGCCATGTAAACTCCTCAAAACTCAGAAAGCATAGAAGATCGATAAACCTTGGCGAAGAAAGCAGCAGTTTCATGAGTCTTTCAAGCATTGGATCGTTCGGAAGGATAACCGGCCGTGGCTCGGGAAGGATTGCAGCCGACAACGAGATGGTGGACAAACCGATATTGTGAGTATCGATCGTTATTTGGATGATACATTTTGGGCGGTAAATTTGTAGAGTAAGGGGGTGAAGTTGTGAGAATGTATAAAAGAGTAGATGAAATTTATTATGTAATTCTTTTGTTGTCGGGAGGGAGATTGAAATCAGGACAAATAAAATTGACTCGTGTAATTCAATGATTTGTTGTTGTTTTTGATAAGTTTGTCAAAAAAGAAATTGTTTGTTGTTATTATTTGGTTACTTGTATGAAAGGTAAGTGGATAAATCTTCTCGTCTTTGTTTCACTTGTGTTATTATGAGAATTGTTTTGTAACTAAAGGTATTTTTTACCAAGAAAAGTCTATCCCTATTTTCATTTTATAATTGAATTGTTCAATCTAGATGGGAGCAAAATCATAAGTGAATGGCTGGTAAGTTGCCAACGGGGAAAGAGATGGAAAGAGTCTTTGGGTGGTGTGTTGATCAAAAAGAAAACAAAAAAGTCTTTGGGTGGTGTTTTGAGGATGATCCAGTCACTTTCTTTATCTCTCAACTTGTGTGTCTCCAACAAAAATATAATAATGATGAAATATTTGGCTCTTTATTAACTATCATATCAGTATTTTTAAGAGTAAGTCATATTATTACAACTAGTACATACTACACGATTACTTATTGTTTACGCGTTCGTGGACTGATTAATTTATACTTCAACACTCGTTTTAGAGTCATAGTAGGCAAAGACTGGTGTATTCGGTGGATACTTTTGTTAGTCGACTTTAAGGAAAAGTAAACCTGGTGATTATCTTGATAATATACAATTATGACAAACGAAGAAATTAAGTACTGCTAGAATTCTTACTTTTTACATTAACGTGTTTGCGATGAGAAAGTACGTTGAATCTATGTCGAGAAGGAAGAGAAATAAGTACGTTGAATCTATGTCGTGAAGGAAGAGAACAAGTGAGAGAAATAAGTACGCTGTGAGTAAAAGGCTGTGAGTTGCGCCACCTAGATTTGAAATCCCGGTCACTGGGTGATTTAATGCGGATCCTCCAACATCTGAGACCGAACGTTATAGGTGAGCCACAGGGTGATGTTTTGGTAGCGTCTTTACTCGCTTAGCAAAAAATACTCGTTTAGAAAAAGAAAGATAAAAATAATCAACAAAGATAAAAAAATAGTTTAACCGATCTAATTCAATTTAACTGGTTGACAAAAAAAAAAAAATTAAACTAATTATTCTTTTTTTTTGGCAAAACATTAAAATTCAATACCAATTTTTCAGTTTTTGACAAAAAGACATAGAACACAAGAAGTAGAGCAACATAAATAAAACTAAACAAAAACTCAAGCTTGACTATACAAGGTGATGTAAGACTCGGACGGAGCCTTTGGAAGATGGTGGTGATGGATCCTCAAGCTGGCTTTCTCGCACTCTCTTGAGAACAAAGGATGATCGAAGTGATGAACACTTAACCCGAGATTGATCAAGTGGGGATGGGGTCGAACAAGCTGGCTATAACGCACTCTCTTGTTGGACAGGTTGATGATGTAGATGATGGATTGAATAGACACCACAAAGCTCTGTGAAAGGAGACTATGATAAGCCTAGTGGCTCAAGAGCTGCTTCTCACAACACTCAAAAGACTTAGAACAATAGTTTTAAGAAAACTAGAAAACTGAATAATTCTTTCATAAAATTCAAGGGTCATTTACAATGAAGAAACAACTTGAGCTTTATTGGCTCGATTCTGGGACTCTCTAACAATCATAAAATGACATAAGGAAAGAAATAAACTCAAAAATAAAGTCTTGGAAGCAAAAACATTGATGGCTCCAAGATATTTAGCCTTTGGGCAGATTTGTAGCTTTGAGAAGATATTCTTGTAGCTTTGAGAAGACATTCTTCTGGATATATCCATGGTCAAGAAGTCTTCCTGATATGTCTCTGATATCTTCTGATGAAGAATATGTCCGTTGGTCTTCAAAGAGTTTTGGGGAAAACTCATTTACTCCTCTTAATGTGGACATGTCCAAACATGGAAGGTTGGTGCAAGTGAAGATCCGCCTGATCCTCTGAGTGATAGTGTATGGTATGAACTTGTAGGAGTCTTCTTGGATGCCTATAATGTCTACTGGACGTCTTGGTTTAGTCTTGATGTCTTCTGGTCGGATTAGAATTGCTTGGAAAAGATCAAACCGAAAGATTGTCCAATCTTTCCATAAATAGTTCCGGTTTGATTTAAGTGAGCCTCCATTGAACCGACTGATCTCCTGGGTTCTGGTGTAGCTAAGGACTTCTGGAATACCTCCTGATTGGTTGAAATGATCTCCTGGACGCCAATGTCTGGTTTGAAGCTGATTGAACCGGCTAGCTTCCAATTGAGGCAAGTGTAGAGCTGGTTTGGCCGGTTTGGGGAAAATGATCATATCTCCTGGTTTACTCGTCCCCTTCTCATGATCTTGGGCTTTCTGGAAAGATGATAAACTCCTCTTAACTTATATGATTTGCTTTGGCTCGGGACGTTCCTTCTTTGGGCTGGAAACTCCTTCTAAAGTCGAGTGATGCTCGCAGATGAATGGGCTGGAAAATCTCTGTCTTGAAAAATTCATAACTTCTTCTTCTGTGGGTCTTTTCTTGAAATTCCAATTGGAATGGACTTCTCCTTCGGTGTAGAATCCATGAAAATTGGCTTCAGGATTTAAAACCTCCTGATTTAAGAGATATGGCATTTGTATTGCACATATGTCCTGCTTGGCGCCTTGGTTGGGTGAGTGGGGTGTTGGATGGACCTCCGGTTCAGCTACTGGTTTGATGGCCGCATCATTACCTCCCCCTTGTGAAGGTTTTGACCTCAAAACTTCATAACCTGATACACCACAATAGAGCAAGTCAGGTTTCATTCTCTTTTGGGAGTTTAGAACCTTACCTTGGTGATACAATTTTGGTTTGGTGATGGATGGTGCATCTGGTGGCTCTTCTTTGAAAAGGTGTGAAAGGATCACGCCTCTGCTATGGATATGGCCATTGAATCTCCTCTGAGGTGGATGGTCCTTCAAAGTTTTGGTGGCCATGTTTCTGATCCTCCTTGGAGTTGATCTTCCTAGCAACAAAAGATCATCTTGTGGGATGTTTTTGAAGTTTACATCTTTGCAACCTGAAAAGTTCTCAACATTCTGGAAAAGCAAGTGGATTATATCTGTGTTTGGACACTGATAAATATAATTTGAAAGTTTCAGACTTACTTTGATAGCTTCCACTAGTTGAAGAATGATTTTCTTCTTTGGACAAGTTTGGTTATATGGCTGCCTTTCTTGCAAACTCTTATCTTGGCTGGTATGACCATCTTCTTGGCTTATTCCTGGATCAAAAGTTTCTGGCAAAGACAAGTGCATTACATCTGGATAATCAAGAAATAAAGACGTTTTTAAATTAGAAACACTTCCCTTGCTAAGGCTGGCTTTTAATTGTGTTGGTTCAGCCTCTCTTTGGACTGGTTTCTGCTCAACATCTACCAACATCATGGCTGGTGCCTCATTATTTTGGGCAGTGTACTCCACCATGGTTCCTGAAAATATTTCACATTCTCTTGGACAAAACAAGTGCATTAATCTTGGCATAGGATAAATAATAAAATTCTGATCTAATGTGAAACAAACTTTACACTTTGGTATTTGAACAACACATTGTTCAGTTTTGGGCTTCCACTTATTAGGTGGTTCATGACTGAGCTCATGGTCAGGCTCGGCCCTGGGCACTTCAGTCAGTATAGGGCTTTCATTCTTACTCCCTATATCAAGAACACACACTTCAGAACCAGCATATAAAGGTGGTGTTAAACACTTACCTTGACTTGATACATTAGTTACTGGTTTTGCTGCTTTAAGCAACATGGACTGCAATGTATCTTGAACCAGCTTCTGGTCCATCACATGGGTGACGTCTGGTGGTTCTCCTCTAGTGAATTCTTGCTCCTTGATTCCTATTACAACACCTCTTGACAAAGACAAGTGCATCATACAAGAATTTTGAACAAATAAATCAGATTGAATAAAATTATCACTTTTCCTAGATAAATCTGTTTTTATTTCTAGTGTTTTTTCTATCAGGGATTTCTCAGTGGGGCAAACTATAGCAAAGTGTCCTCCTTTATGACATCTATGACATTTCTGATGATTTAAATTGACAGAGTTAAAGGACTTACCTTGGCTTGATGCCACTTCTTTCTTTGAGTATGGAATCTCATTATTCCTTGAAATTAAATCATGGACAGCTTTGGATTCCAACAAGGATGTTGAGATCACGTATTTCTGGACCTGAGGACCTGTATTAACATTCTTGGACAAAGACAAGTGATCCATACCACTGGGAGATGATTTATAAACCAAGTTTTCAAGTATAGGACTTACCATAACCTTTACTTTGACAATACCTTGTTCTGGTTTTTCTTTGGACCTGATCAAAGTGTTTTGGACGATATTTACCTTCTTCTCCATGGTCCTTGGGACCTCATAAGACTGGTAATAATCAGTGGGAACCATGACCCTCTGGTTTGGACGAATCTGGTTTTGATGGATCAAGGTTCTATGGCCTTCTTTAGGAACATCTCTCTTTGCCTCTTTAGAACCATGAGTTAGATACCTGTTGGGGTCAAAATCGGTACGACGGAATTAATAGCCAAAACTTTCTGCAAGAATACAAAAAGAACAGTTTTATAAAGCTCGAGAATCGTTTTATAAAACTGGAGAAATCGTTTTATAAAGCTCGAGAATCGTTTTATAAAACTCGAGAAATCCTTTTATAAGACTCGAGAAATCGTTTTATAAAACTCGAGAAACCGTTTTATAAAACTCGAGAATCGTTTTATAAAACTCGAGGATCGTTTTATAAAACTCGAGGATCGTTTTATAAAACTTGAGAATCGTTTTATACAACTTGAGAATCGTTTTATAAAACTCGAGAATCGTTTTATAAAACTCGAGAAATCGCTTTATAAAACTCGAGAAATCGTTTTATAAAACTCGAGAATCGTTTTATAAAACTCGAGAAAACGTTTTATAAAACTCGAGAATCGTTTTATAAAACAATTAGATCGTTTTTATAAAACTCAAAAGTCGTTTTATAAAACTCGAGAATCGTTTTATAAAACTCGAGAAAACGTTTTATAAAACTCGAGAATCGTTTTATAAAACTCGAAGATCGTTTTTATAAAACTCAAAAGTCGTTTTATAAAACTTGACAAACCGTTTTATAAAACTCGAGAAAACGTTTTATAAAACTCGAGAATAGTTTTATAAAACTCGAAGATCGTTTTTATAAAACTCAAAAGTCGTTTTATGAAATCCGAAGATCGTTTTATAAAAC